TCGGGTCCGAGTTTGTAGAGAGAGGGATCAAGAAGGACTTAGTCAAAACAGCAAGAGTACCTTGAACGTCGCGCAGCGTGCCGTGCAGACCGTCGATCGGATTAAGCTGAAAATTCGCTATATCGAAGCTCGCTCCAAGAGCTTTAAAATGAGCCAAGTTGCCTCGCGAAAAGTTCTGCCATTACTAAGTTCTGGCTCGGACAGCGTTTGCCTAGCGTTGGAGTGCTAGCATACTAGCGTTGACTCGGGTAGCATTCCGCCGTCGAATAGCGCAAAAACGAAATTCCAGCGAGGAAGGAATTCGCTTGAATCAAATTATTCAGGTACAAACAGAGAAGGATTAAATAGTTCTAGCTAGCAAGGACCTTGGGAATCAACCTGGGAACAACCAAGGATGATCCCAAATAATTCCAAGCAACAGAACCAACCTGGCTGGACAAAATAGCAGGTGGTAGGTTGGTAAACAACCTCTGGTTCTGTTTTTCCAACCTGGGAAAACAACAATCAGGTTCAGGTTCTAAAAACAGAACCTGTTTTGTCTTTGCCCAACCAGCCAAATGCTGGTTCCGCTGGTTTCCCCTGGCCTTGTAGCATGCAGATACAGACAAACAACATCCAACCTTCACCTAAATTGTACCCCTATAGTGCCTTCCCTGCTACACTATAGTTAACCAAACATAACAGTACAATTCCGAGTTGGATAGAACTGAATCTGCGCAATCAACTCAACCGAACTGCAAAGCTTCTATCTTGGGTTCCTTTGCGAGCTCGTCCTTTCTGCTTGCACTGTTCATAGCGCGTACAATGTTGTGCCGAAGCGCACATTGCGCGAGTACCTGCAAATGCATCAAGCGAAAATTGCGAAAGCAAACAAACACACGAACACACCATTCACACGCAAATGCATTCGCACACGCATACTCGTACAAACAAACGGCAGGATGTCGTGCAATGTGCATTTGCACCCAACAACTATAGGGGTACAATTTAGGTGAAGGTTGGATGTTGTTTGTCTGTATCTGCATGCTACAAGGCCAGGGGAAACCAGCGGAACCAGCATTTGGCTGGTTGGGCAAAGACAAAACAGGTTATGTTTTTAGAACCTGAACCTGGTTGTTGTTTTCCCAGGTTGGAAAAACAGAACCAGAGGTTGTTTACCAACCTACCACCTGCTATTTTGTCCAGCCTGGTTGGTTCTGTTGCTTGGAATTATTTGGGATCATCCCTGGTTGTTCCCAGGTTGATTCCCAAGGTCCTTGCTAGCTAGAACTATTTAATCCTTCTCTGTTTGTACCTGAATATAGTCAAATTGATTCATGTGAATTCCTTCCTCGCTGGAATTTCGTTTCTGCGCTATTCGACGGCGGAATGCTACCCGAGTCAACGCTAGTATGCTAGCACTCCAACGCTAGGCAAACGCTGTCCGAGCCATAACTTAGTAATGGCAGAACTTTTCGCGAGGCAACTTGGCTCATTTTAAAGCTCTTGGAGCGAGCTTCGATATAGCGAATTCTCAGCTTAATCCGATCGACAGTCTGCACGGCACGCTGCGCGACGTTCAAGGTACTCTTGCTGTTTTGACTAAGTCCTTCTTGATTCCTCTCTCTACAAACTCGGACCCGAGGATAGGGGCTGGTCTTGTACCAGGCACCCAGGAACCCTTGGAGGTGACCCCGAGGAGAGGTTTTAAGTTTGATTATGTCCTAATAGCTTGAGTTTATTAGGCCCTTACACCAACAATTCTGTAAGTCGTCCAAAGAGCACCAGAGCAAACGAGTGCACATCACTCATTACTGCCGAGTCGTTTTTCCGCGGCCTCCGCCTCCCCCGTTTTTTGTCACAGGATCCTTCCGGGAAGAAAAGGAGGAGGAGCCGAAGCGTCCGTTAGGCTTAGGGCTATTGCGAGCAGCTGTCTTAGAGTAAGATCGGCCGACGGTTTTCACTGCAGCTTCCTCAGCCTCGTCGACCTTCTGCTTCTGTTTCTGCTTCGTCGGAGTCAGCTTCTTGCCGTTGGAAGTTTTGCCGTTGGCTTTTGGAGTCTTGCGAGACTTCTTGCCTGTACTAGCGTTCTTCCTGACAGGAATACCGGAGTTGTTAGACCTAAGTCTAAATGTACGAAATTCAGAAACAGCAGCCTTATCCTTGACAGAATTGCTGCCGGTCTTTTTCGCAGATGTCTTAATAGGAGCCTGCTTCATGACCTTCTGCACCTCTTGACGAGCAATCTCTCGGACGGTGGGTTCAACCGGCAGATTCTCAGCTTCCTCAGCATCGGCAGCCTTTTTCTTAGCGTCAAGCTCCTCCTTTTTCTGCTTCAGAAGGACTTTCTCCATGTTAGTTTCCATGTAGATGATTGAGACAGAATCCTTGAACTCCGTCAGAACTCTTGACTTGAAAACGTCGAGGCTAGCAATAAGCTTCGGATTCTTGATGCCGAGATCAGACTTCTTGTTAAGGTTGATAAAATTGTCGATATGATGAATCAGCGAGTGATAAACAGCACAGGCATCGCTGAAGGCCTTTTCAGCAGCTTTCTTCTTCATCGAAATCAGAATATTCTGCGTGCTCTGGCAATACGCCAGCTTAGCGGCTTCCAGGTCCTTATCTGCCTCTTGGCGAATATCTTCGGCATGGCAGACGAAATTGAAGGATTTAATCCGAATAGAGTGCGGAATGATTCCATTCTACTTCTGTTCCTCCATGAAATTGTATTGTTGTAACAGCGTCCGATGCTTCATGAAATGCTTCTTGAAGTCATTGGCGGCTTGAGTCTTAAGAGGCTTAAAAAAGGCTGGTGTAGCCTGCTGATCCAGAAAAGTAGCGTTAATGTCACTGAGAAATTCAAGTGAATCCAGCATGATGGTGTCACGAGTGACGGAGTCCTGGATCCCTTGAACTGCTTCTTGTCCCGGAGCCGTCGCGTTAGCAGTAGTAGCCATCGTAACGGGAGTAATACCAGGAACGTCAACAGACTTTGCGAGAGTAGCACCAGAATTATCAAGAGCTCTCCTCTTGCAGTGTCGAGAAGAAGAAGGAGACTGTGGAAAGTCCCTTTCGAAGACCGGCTCTTTATCCGGGCAAAGCTGCGAATTCTTTCGCGATGCTCTCAATGGCCTTGGGATAGTCGAGACGCGGTCAGTGACATTGTTAGTAGTAGCGTTGTTAAATGCGTTAAACTTATAGCCGGCCATCGCAGTGGTATCAACAGACAGTCCAATAGAACCCCACTTAGGAGGCGTATCTTTGCGTGGCAGCGGCATTGTTTAGTTAAAATTTTTTAAGTTGTAGTAGGGCTTGCTTAGAGACCTTTGTAAAAAATTCGTGGTAACTAGTTTCGGCTTTGAGCCTTCATCAGACCACAAAGGCACGAATGAGCAAGCAAGCACCCTAAATACCAATCCCGGAGGCTCCAGCGCGAGGCATTCCTTCGCGGGGCTGGGATGGCAGGGAAAAGCTAGATAGAACAGTAGAAAAACTACTCTACAGTAAACTAGCACTTATGAGCAGAGATTAAAAAATTACCTACTCTTTTAGGTAACCTCCAAGCAATGATACTTCTTCGTGTAGAAAAAACGCCGTGTGACATTATACTGAGCTGGCTTTTGAGTCGACTCAAAAGGCACCTCGTAGCAAAATGCGATAGCATATGATGGGATGTTGACTGACATACTACCACATACTGACAGCAGAGGGCATACGCTACCACAAACTCACAGGGTGGAGAGCTGGGAGAGGCAGCTGTAGCCCAAAGGCAGCGATTCCGAGAAGATGTTGCTGCTGAGGTCGCTGGGGATTGGGAAGCGAGGGGGAGGACTAATGTAACAACGAGGTGGAGTTGATTGAGAAGGTAATGGAGCTCAAAACTCCATTAGTAAGCTCCTTGGAAAGAGTGGGAAATGATGGGTTGGCTGAGTTCTCCAGTTGGTGAGTTGAAATTGTCCAACGCATCACATTTGGATGAGGTTGGGATTGAGTGTAACATCCAACCCACACAAAGTATATGTACACTAGAACTAGGATAGAGAACTAGTGAAAATGTGAAATTGTGTATCTCTGAATATCGTAAATCTGTAGTAAAGGGGGGCCCTAGTGGGGGGGAGACTAATAGGTTGGAGGGGGACTGACAGGTGGGAGAGAGAAGTGGCAAGACTAAGGATGGCGGGCAGTGGCCCTGATATCTGGTTGGAACTCAGATCCCTGCACGTGCACCGAAGGACAACCATTCATCTTGGCGATTGCGGCGAAACATAATTCTTGTTTCATAAAAACAAAATTGCAATGGCAAATTTGATTTATTTAGTGCGCCACCCGCCCGCTATGCGCTGGCAAGCTGGTTGGGCAAGTTATAATCCTGTGGCAACTGAGAAAAATGTGCATCCTTGATGTTGAGGGACAGAAATATGCTAGGAATATCCTGGTGTTTGGGTGTTACACCATCCACACCTCTCCTATTTATGGTCACCTGCAAGTAATTTCCAACCCACCAAAATTAAATTACCAACCCACCAATCTTATTGGGGAGTGCGTCTGATTCCCTCTTCACATCCCATTCTTGCTGTGCTGAAAGTTCTCCGAGATCCATTCAAATTATTCCATCTCATAATATTCCATCTCATATGAATACAAACTATATATTGCAGCGGCTTTCTACTTTCTAACGCACAATATGTGGAAACAGGGAAGGCCAGAGTGGCCCAGATTAAAAATAAAACATGCTCAAGACACATCAAGAAATTAAGGGATGTTAGACGGGCTACATTCCAGAGTTCAAGATGCAGCATGCTGCTTGCGTGTCTGATTGATTGCTTGTTTACACATGTGTGCATGCGTGCTTGCTTGCTTGCTTACGTACGTGCATGTTGATTGCTGCTCGCACTCACAGTTTCGTAAGGTCTGTGAGCTGGGCGAGGGTGGAAGGGAGATCGCCAGATAACTTGTTGGATCCGAGAACTCTGGTTGGGTTTGAGGCAGCACCCTGTGAGTCCCGATTGGATCGCACCATGCGACTCTGGCTGGGACTGACTGGTGCTTACAATGGTGATGTTCAAGCGGGCACAGTGCGGTGAATGTGCTAATGGCAAGTGCTGAAATGTGATGCCAATGAATGGAATGGACAAAAAAATCACAATGAATCAGGACGAGTGGATGCGCGTGGCGCCTGCAAGTAAGTCAGGTGGAAAGAGTTTGTGATAGTAAGGACTGCGATGAAAGATGACGACAAAAAACTTGGGGCTATGTGTCAAGCAATGCCATGGCATGGCATCACAATGTATGGTATGGAATGGCATCACATTACATGTGCATGGAACGGCATGTCTCACATATTTTGCAATCGCTTGAGTTCGAACATAGACGCAGGAATGGAGCCATTGAAAGAGTTGCCCGACAAATCACTGCAGGGATGGAGGGAGGGAGGGAGGGAGGGAGGGAGGGAGGGAGGAGGGAGGGAGGGAGGGAGGGAAGGAGCGATGAAGGGAGGGAGGGAGGGAGTGAGGGAGGGAGGGAGGGAGGGAGGGAGGGAGGGAGGGAGGGAGGGAAGGAGGGAAGGGAGGGAGGGAGGGAGGGAGGGAGGGAGGGAGGGAAGGAGGGAGGGAGGGAGGGAGGGAGGGAGCAATTAAGGGAGGGAGGGAGGGAGGGAGGGAGGGAGGGAGGGAGGGAGGGAGGGAGGGAGGGAGGGAGGGAGGGAGGGAGGGAGGGAGGGAGGGAGGGAGGGAGGGAGGAGGGAGGGAGGGAGGGAGGGAGGGAGAGAGGGAGGGAGGGAGGGAGGGAGGGAGGGAGGGAGGGAGGGAGGGAGAGAGGGAGGGAGGGAGGGAGGGAGGGAGGGAGGGAGGGAGGGAGGGAGGGAGGGAGGGAGGAAGGGAGAGAGGGAGGGAGCGTTGATGGGAGGAAGGGAGGGAGGTAGGGACCATATGCGAGACAGCACGGGACAGTGGCGGAATGAAGAGGCTTCAACAAACACAATCAAGAAAAAGAGACCAAGGCGGGGTGAGGAACGGGGGAGGAACAGGGGGGGGGTGGGAAAGATGGAAAGAGAGGGGGACAGGGGAGGAGGAAAGAAGTTCCATCCATTTGGAGAGGTACTCTTTTGACAAATGAAATCCTTACATTGTGATTGCACCCGCAACATTGGAAATGGCTTCTGGAATTGAACCTGACAGAGCATTCCTTGCTAGGTTGCTGGGACGAACAGGGGGGGGAGGTGGGTGGGGTATGGATGGAGGGAAGGAAATTCGGAAGAAACTGTGTGATAGAAGATGAATGGAGTGTTAGAGGAAGAGAGAGTAAAGGAGCAAGCATGCGGCGAGGGCAGGCTCTAGACAGTCGAGAAAGTTCGAGAGGGCAGAAGAACAGTTAGAGGAAGAGAGAGAATTTGGTGAAGGATTGGGTGGGTAATGAAGCAAGCATGCGGCGAGGGCAGATTGTTGAAGAAGAGAGGCAATGAAGAAGAACAATTGGACTTCAAACACTCACAGATACGTGAATGCAGTTTTCACGTTACTTGGAGTGGGTATAGATCCTGTAAAGCCGTTGTCCCTCAAATCCCTGTGCATGTGCATGCACATGAATGTTCAGATGAACATGTACAGTCACATGCACAAGCGCGTGCGCGCGCACACACACACACACACACACGCACACAGTCACATGCAAATGAACATGGACACACACATCGTCACATGCTCATGCACACACACAGAGTCACATGCACAGTGACATGCACATGCACTAAGGAGTGAGTTGCGGAGATAACTTAAGCAACGGGAGCTAGACTAAGGGCTAGGCACGGGTGCTCGTGTGATCTCTGCGTTCGTTGGTCCTTAGTCATTTTCCTAGTGCACACACTGCTTGCTAGTTCACAAGGCAATTTGACAAGGGTTTCAGTAGAGAAAGTTGACAACAATGATACAATGAAGTTGGCTAGGCTAGACTACATCAGAGCTAGGATGCAAGCAGGTCGACTGCCAGTGCAGCATGGACGACCGCGTGCCAGCACGACTTTGAAGTAGAGAGCCTCGTCGCCGACCTTGAAGTAGAGAGCCTCGTCGACCTGGCTCTTCTTCCACCCAGCGCCGACCAGCACGTCGTTGAGCGCCAAGTACCACAGCAGCGGCGACTGCTTCAGCCCGTACAGGCTCTTCAGCAGCTTGCACACCCGGCCGGTTCCGTCGTTGAAGTAGTCCGGCTGGGACATGTACAGCATCCGGTCGAGCTTGCTCTGCAGGAAGGCGTTCTTCATGTCAAGCTGCATCAGGTTGAGGTTGAGCACGGCGACGATGCTGAGGAAGATCCTCAGCGTGACGTAGCTGCCCACCGGCGCAAACGTCTCGTCGTAGTCGGCGCCGTACACCTGCGTGAAGCCCTTCATGACCAGCCTCGCCTTCTCGCGCTCGACGGTGTCGTCGATGTGGTACTTTGTCGTCAGCACCCACCGGTTCTTCATCACGTTCACTCCCGGCGGGCGTTTGACTAGCTCCCACGTCCCCATGGCGATGAGACTGCGGATCTCCTCCTCCATGGCGGCCTTCACCGCCGGGCCCTTCCAGCTCGCCAACGCCTCCTTCACCGTCATCGTCGAGATGTCCCAGCGGTGCTCGGGGTCGGCCAGCATGTCGGGGTCGAGCTCCGGAAACTCCTCATCCTCGTCGGCGTCGTCGTACAGCAGGTCGTCGTCGTCCTCCACGTCGTACACCGTGGTGAAGGCAGCGGGGATGAAGAAGTCGGGAGGCCTCCGAAGTCGACCTGACTTCCGGGGTTCAGGCGGGACCACCACCACGTCACGATCGATGGACTGGTCGACCACCTCCTGGTCGACCAGCTCCTCAACCACCTCCTGGTCGACCGGCTCCTCGTCGCCCAACTGCTCCCCTTCATCTTCACCGCCGTCCTCGTCGCCCTGCTGCACCTCGGTCGGCTTCCCGGTCGACTGCTCCCCTGTGGTCAGCTCCCCTGTCGACCGCCAAGTCGCTGACTGCTCCTGGGTCGACCTCGTTGCTGCCTGCTCCCCTGTTAGCTTCACCCAAGTCGGCTGCACCTCCTCGACCTGCTCCCCCCCCATCCAGGTCGACGTCACTCCCAGGTCGACCTGCTGCTCGTCGACTTGCTGCTCGTCCCGTCGGCCACCGGCGATGCCCTTGGTCGGCGCCACAGGCGACGTCCCACTGCTCCCCTCATCGCCGGAGGCCGACGGCGGAGTCAGCCCACGCAGGTCGACGAGGGGAGGGGCAGGAGAGAGGGAGGAAGGGTGGACGACCTCGGTGTCGTCCTCAGCAATCCCACCGACCTCGGCGAGCAGAGGGAGTGTCGCCGTCGAGGTATCCGTCGGCGTCAAATCAGTGTCCGCCCGGACACGGGTCCATGCTCCGACTTCCACTCCTCCAGCGACAGGTCCTCGTAGAACACCACGTCCGATGTGGTGACCACCCGGTTGGCGGCAATGTCGAGGAGCTCCCAGCCCTTGCTTGCCTCCGACACACCGAGGTGAAGGCCCCACTTGGCCTTTGGCTTCAGCTTGCCACCACGCTGCTGCTCGGGGACGAGGAATTGCGCCATGCAGCCCCACACGCGCGCCAGCGACAAGTCGGGCTTCGTCCCGGTCAGCAGCTGGTACGGCGTCGTCCCCAGCGTTGCCGATCGCTCCAGGCAGTTGCGGACCCAGACGGCTTGCCGCAGAGCGAGGTGCCACCAGTGGTGCTGCACGCCCATGTGCAGCAGCATCGTCCTCACCGACTCCACCACCGTCCGCATCTCCCGCTCCGCCATGCCGTTCTGCTGCGGGGTGTACGGGCAGGTCAAGTCGTGGACGATCACCACGAAGTCGGTGAACGTCTTCCCGAGGAACTCCCCGCCCCGGTCCGAGCGCAGCATCAGCACCGACTTCTTCGTCTGCCTCTCCACCAGCACCAGCCACTTCTGGAACTCCAGCAGCACATCCGACTTCTGTTGGGTGCAAATTTACATTGCACGACATCCTGCCGTCTGTTTGTACGAGTATGCGTGTGCGAATGCATTTGCGTGTGAATGGTGTGTTCGTGTGTTTGTTTGCTTTCGCATTTTTCGCTTGATGCATTTGCAGGTACTCGCGCAATGTACGCTTCGGCACAACATTGTACGCGCTATGAACAGTGCAAGCAGAAAGGACGAGCTCGCAAAGGAACCCAAGATGGAAGCTTTGCAGTTCGGTTGAGTTGATTGCGCAGATTCAGTTCTATCCAACTCGAAATTGTACTGTTTTGTTTGGTTAACTATAGTGTAGCAGGGAAGGCACTATAGGGGTACAATTTAGGTGAAGGTTGGATGTTGTTTGTCTGTATCTGTATGCTACAAGGCCAGGGGAAACCAGCGGAACCAGCATTTGGCTGGTTGGGCAAAGACAAAACAGGTTCTGTTTTTAGAACCTGAACCTGGTTGTTGTTTTCCCAGGTTGGAAAAACAGAACCAGAGGTTGTTTACCAACCTACCACCTGCTATTTTGTCCAGCCAGGTTGGTTCTGTTGCTTGGAATTATTTGGGATCATCCCTGGTTGTTCCCAGGTTGATTCCCAAGGTCCTTGCTAGCTAGAACTATTTAATCCTTCTCTGTTTGTACCTGAATATAGTCAAATTGATTCAAGCGAATTCCTTCCTCGCTGGAATTTCGTTTCTGCGCTATTCGACGGCGGAATGCTACCCGAGTCAACGCTAGTATGCTAGCACTCCAACGCTAGGCAAACGCTGTCCGAGCCAGAACTTAGTAATGGCAGAACTTTTCGCGAGGCAACTTGGCTCATTTTAAAGCTCTTGGAGCGAGCTTCGATATAGCGAATTCTCAGCTTAATCCGACCGACGGTCTGCACGGCACGCTGCGCGACGTTCAAGGTACTCTTGCTGTTTTGACTAAGTCCTTCTTGATCCCTCTCTCTACAAACTCGGACCCGAGGATAGGGGCTGGTCTTGTACCAGGCACCCAGGGACCCTTGGAGGTGACCCCGAGGAGAGGTTTTAAGTTTGATTAAGTCCTAATAGCTTGAGTTTATTAGGCCCTTACACCAACAACTTCTTGGCGACCGGCCTCACCCACACGAAGCGGGTCTTGCGGTCCTTCAGCAGCAAGAAGTACAGGCTACCGTCCTTGGCAGCCACCCGGAATGGCCCGCACAAGTCGATGTGGACGACGGCGAGCACGTCGTCGGCATCGGAGCCATGGTCGGGGAAGGTGTGCCGTGCCAGCTTCCCGCCGACGCACGAGACACACGGTGAGTCGGCGCCCGTCGCCGACTTGAGGTCCAGCCCAATGGCGACCTCGTTCTTTGCCGAGCTCCGGATGGTGTCCATGCCGACGTGCGCAAGCCGAGCATGCATCCTGCTCGGCGTCGACTTCGTCTTCGAGACGATCGCCCGCAGGGCCACAACCTCCGGCGTGGGCGACGTCGACCTCGTGGAGCAGGGACGCAGGTCGGTGCAGAGGACTCGCCCGGAGTACGTCGCCCGACCGAGCACCTCTCCTGCTGCCGAGACGAGCAGCATCCCGTCGCCGTCCTCCCGAAACTTCACGCCATGCTCCTTCAGCTGGCCGGACGACAACAGGTTCGCCCGCACACCCGGGACGTACAGCACGTCGGGGATGAGAACCTGCTTCCCGGCCTCGCCTTGCAGCGCAATCGTGCCCCGGCCCTGGACGTCTTGCACGTGCTTCACGTCGCCGCTCGGCCCCAGGTCGACGAAGGCGTCCTTTGTCCCCATCAGGTGGTGGGAGCAGCCGCTGTCGAGCAGGACCACTGCCGGGTTAGCCTGCACAGCTGCCGCCACCGCCTGGAAGTCCTCGCCAGCCTCCGGCGCCAGCGAGACGGTCGGCTCCACGACGCCGACTAGAGAGCACGACGCCGAATTGTCGCCCTGCCCTTTGCCGCCAGCAGAGGAGTCGGCGTCCTTCGCCGAGGTCGACGACTTGGTCGACTGCTTCTCCTTGCGCAGCTGACTTCCTCCTCGACGAGGTCGACGACTGCCAGACCTCCCGCGGCCTCCCTTGTCGTCGTCGTCCGAGTCACTGCGGTCGGGGCACTCGAAGGAGAGGTGGTCAGGGTCGCCGCACAGCCAGCACTCCCGACGTCGACTTCCTCCTCCTCGGCCGTTGTCCTTGGTCGACTTCTTCTTGTCGACCTCCTTGGTTGACTTCGAGCCACTGCTACCACCGCCGCCAGACTGTCCACGCTGCTCCGGTTGACCGCCTTGCTTCGCCGGGGCGACGTAGTTCACCTGCGCCAAGAGCTCTTGGGACCGCTCGGCCTCCTGCATCGCCTCGTCCTGCAGGATGTACGAGGTCAACGTGTCCTCGTTGAGCGTCGCCCGCGTGCTCGGCGCCATCGACAGCCGCTTCAGCAGGTTGTAGCTGCTCGGAAGTCCCTGCATGACATGGGTGATGTACGACGCCGTCGAGTACTCCGCACCGGCCATCCTGATGGTGGCGAGAATTCGCCGGGCCCGGTTGCAGTAGTCGGTCGCCGTCTCCTGGTCGCCCATACGCAGGTGTGTCAGCTGCCCCTCCAGTTGGGCGATGAACAAGTCGTCGGTGACTTGGTAGGTCGACTCAATGAAGTGCCACGCCTGGTGGCCGGCGTCGAGGTACTCCCGGCACCACTTCAAGGCGATTTGCACGCCAGGCAAACAGCACCGTGAGATGACCGTGAAGGTCAACAGCTGCACAGCGCGGAACTCAGCTCGCAAGTCGGGGTCGCTCGGCGTCGCCACGGTACCTCGAGCGAAGCTGATCAGCCCGGCCATCTCCAGCTGGGGCTCGATGGCCTCCTTCCAGGTGAGTATGTCGGGTCGACCGACCAGCGGGGGAGTCACCGAGATCCTATCCGGCGTGAACTTGAAGTAGCCGTAGCTCGGCGCGATTCCTCCCGCAGTCACCTGGGACGCCGACATCGGCGTCAACCCGCTTCGTCGACCTCCGACGTCGCCCTGCGAGGTGCCCGCAGCCGACGTCGACCGCACTTCTCGCCCTTGAACGCCGCCGACTTCGTCGGCGTGAATCACACCACGCTGCCTCGACGTGCCTCCCACACTGCTGCCGACTTGGTCGCCTCCGGCGTTGACACCCACGTCGACGCCGCCCTCGGTGTTCACCGGTCGAGGAGAAGCAGGCCGAGAAGGGTGCTCCGTCGCCCACAAGGAACGGATGCCAGCCTCGACGACCGCCCACGGCAGGTCGCCATACTCGTTGGCCTCGTGCTTCCTCCTCGCGTTTTCCAGCCGTGCCTCCAGGGTGTCCACCACCCCCGTGTCACCTACGGCTCCTACCATAGTGACTATCGCACAGCTGCCGGCCTACGAACAACTTAGGTAAGGTGCCTACTAAGTCGACTAGACTGAAAGGTAAGTCGGGTGCCGTCCACGCTCACCGCACCATGCGGAGATAACTTTAGCAACGGGAGCTAGACTACGGGCTAGGCACGGGTGCTCGTGTGATCTCTGCATTCGTTGGTCCTTAGTCGTTTTCGTAGTGCAGACACTGCTTGCTAGTTCACAAGGCAATTTGGCAAGAGTTTCACTAGAGAAAGTTGACAACAATGATACAATGAAGTTGGCTAGGCTAGACTACATCAGAGCTAGGATGCAAGCAGGTCGACTGCCAGCGCAGCATGGTCGACCGCGTGCCAGCACGACTTGGTCGACCCCCGCTCCAGCAGTACAGAGACGCGGCTTGCCAACGCTGCAGGTCGACGACGTGACAACAGCGCAAGTCGACGGCGTGCCAGCGTTGCTCCTGCAGTCCAGCATCGCACCAGCTTCGCAGGTGCTCGTAGGTGATTGGCGCGCACTGCTTCGTCACCTGCACAGCGCACACACCAAGTCCACCTCGTGCTGACGACTGCATCTCATCTGCCAGGTCGACCTCGGGATACCACCACCGAGGTCGTCCTCGCCAACTTCGCCTGGGCGACCGTCGCATGCCTTCGCAGACCCTCGTCACCCAGGTAACATGGTCGACCGGGCAACCAGGTCGACCAGCTGCTCCTGTGCGTGCCCGTCGACCTCCCAAGTCGACGACCACTTCCAGTCGACCTCACCAGGTCGACCACTGCCTCCGGTGTGTGTAGGTCGACCTCCCAAGTCGACCACTACTTCCTGGTCGACTAGCTCTAGGTCGACGTCCCTCCTGGTCGACCAGAGGGTCTGGTCGACGTCCCAGGTCGACCAGAAGGGCTGGTCGACTTCCCAGGTCGACCAGAAGGGCTGGTCGACTTCCCAGGTCGACCAGAAGGGGTTGGTCGACTTCCCAGGTCGACCAGAAGGGGTTGGTCGACTTCCCAGGTCGACCAGCCAAAGTTGGCGCCCTCCTGAAGTCGGCGCCCATGCAGTGGCTCCCCGTGCAGGTCGACCAACCTCGTCGACCAGCCCGCCCACTGCTGCAGGTCGGCTGCACCCCTACACCCGACCACGAAGTCGGATCCGCCCAAGCGAGGACGGGGCCAACATACAACTCCCGTTGACATGAGTCAGGAGGAATGTGGAGACCATAGAGTGGAGAGGGGCGAGAAGGTATGAAAGGATGGAGAGGAGAGAGCAGAATGCTCCAGAGGGATAATGAGGAGTAGATTGCAGTCGCCGGAGAATTGAAAGGCATTTATCGGGCGCCTACACTGTAGGCGCCTAAAATCAGATGTGCAAACGAATGGAGAACGAATGGATTGATCGTCTGTATTTTGTCCTCCAACTATTCGGAAGTCTGAGAGCAATACCAGCCAGCACTAATGGCCGAATCACGTGGGAAATCATCCACTGCTGCTGCCCAGCAGCAGCACCGCACAATACACTTTAGCCGAGGCGAATAATCACTCGTCTCGTCTGTTTTCTGTATAAGGTCGAATGCCTTAATAAAAGCCATGAGTGGGCTGTGTGGAGGGATTTGAGGCAGGGAGCTAGGGAAGAGGATGGAGAAGGCAGGTAGAGAGTAGGGGGAAAGGGACGAGAGAGGAGAGAGGAGGGAGCAAGCAAGCAGCGGCAGCACAAACAGGGATCGAAGGATAGACAAGCTCCCGAAACTTGGCCCTGTTATATCATTGTTGCTCAGATCCCTGCCATGTCATGCCATGCCATGCAATGCAATGAGACACCATGCCATGCGATGCGATACCATGCCATGCATTCAATGCCACACAAGTGACGCAATGTGAAGTCATGAATATGAAGGTGGCCATATACATGGCACTCACACACCACACCATATATTTGAAGCATAAAAGGACGCTGCCTGTGCGCTGGCAAGTTATAATTCTGTGGCAACTGAGAGGAACGTGCATCCTTACTCTAATACTAAGGAGCTTGAATATGCTAGGAATATCCTGGTGTCCGGGTGTTACACTATCCACACCTCACCAAATTATGGTCACCTGTAAGTTTATCCTAGCCCACCCCGCCAGTCAAGATGTAGCATGCTACTTGCGTATGTGAATGATTGGTTGTTTACATGCGTGCGTTCTTGCTTGCTGGCTTACATGCTTGTTGATTGCTGCTCGCACTCACAGTTTCGTAAGGTCTGTGAGCTGGGTGAGGGTGGAAGGGAGATCGCCAGATAACTTGTTGGATCCAAGCACTCTGGTTGGGTTTGAGGCAGCACCCTGTGAGTCCCGATTGGATCGCACCATGCGACTCTGGCTGGGACTGACTGGTTCTGACAGTGGTGATGTTCAAGCGGGCACAGTGCGGTGAATGTGCTAATGGCAAGTGCTGAAATGTGATGCCAATGAATGGAATTGAAGAAAGAAGCACAACGAATCCGGACGAGTGAATGTGTGTGGTGCGTGCAAGTAAGTGAAGTGGAAAGCGGATGCCACTCATGCATATAGTGTGATAGGAAAGATGATGACAAAAACATTGGGGCTATGTGGCAAGCAATGCCATGGCATGAGTTGTATGGCATGAGTTGTATGGCATGGCATGGCATGGCAAATGTATGGTACGGCATGGTATCACATTACATGTGCATGGAACGGCATGTCTCACATATTTTGCAACCGCTTGAGTCCAAACATAGACGCCGGAATGGAGCCATCGAGAGAGTTGCCCGACAGATCACTGCAGGGAGGGAGGGAGGGAGGGAGGGAGGGAGGGAGGGAGGGAGGGAGGGAGGGAGGGAGGGAGGGAGGGAGGGAGGGAGGGAGGGAGGGAGGGAGGAAGGGAGGAAGGGAGGGAGGGAGGGAGGGAGGGAGGGAGGGAGGGAGGGAGGAAGGGAGGGAGGGAGGGAGGGAGGGAGGGAGGGGGGGAGGGAGGGAGCGAGGGAGGGAGGGACCAAAGGCAAGACAGCACAGGATAGTGCCAGAATGAAGAGTCCTCAAAAACACAATCGAGGGAAAGTTGGCAAGGCGGGATAAGGAACAGGGGAAGAACAAGGGGGGGGGTGGGAAAGATGGAATGGAAGGAGGGGGGGACTGGAGAGGAGGAAGTGAATTTCATGCATTTGGAGAGGTACTCGTTTTGAGAGATGAACAACTTACATCGTGATTGCACCCGCGACATTGGAAATGGCTGCGGGAATCGAACCTGACAGAGCATTCCTTGCTAAGTTGCTAGGACGAACAGGGGGAGGTGGGGCATGGTTAAAGGAGAAACGGTTGGGTGATAGTAGACGAATGGAGTGATAAAGGAAGAGAGAGTAAAGGAGAAAGCATGCGACAGGGCAGATTCTAGACAGTCGAGGCTGTTCGAGAGGCAAGGCAGAATAACAGTTGAAGGAAAAGAGAGAGATTGGGGAAGGATTGGGTGGGTAATGAAGCAAGCATGCGTCGAGGGCAAATAGCAGACATTCGAGATTGTTGAAGAGGAGAGGCAATGCAGAAGAACAATTGGACTTCAAACACTCACAAATACGTGAATGCAGTTTTCACGTTGGCTGGAACGGGTATAGATCCTGTGAAGCCATTGTCTCTCAAATCCCTGTGCATGCACATGTACATGAATATTCAGATGAACATGCACAGTCACATGCACATGCATGTGTTGGTGTAAGGGCCTAATAAACTCAAGCTATTAGGACTTAATCAAACTTAAAACCTCTCCTCGGGGTCACCTCCAAGGGTCCCTGGGTGCCTGGTACAAGACCAGCCCCTATCCTCGGGTCCGAGTTTGTAGAGAGAGGGATCAAGAAGGACTTAGTCAAAACAGCAAGAGTACCTTGAACGTCGCGCAGCGTGCCGTGTAGACCGTCGATCGGATTAAGCTGAGAATTCGCTATATTGAAGCTCGCTCCAAGAGCTTTAAAATGAGCCAAGTTGCCTCGCGAAAAGTTCTGCCATTACTAAGTTATGGCTCGGACAGCGTTTGCCTAGCGTTGGAGTGCTAGCATACTAGCGTTGACTCGGGTAGCATTCCGCTGTCGAATAGCGCAGAAACGAAATTCCAGCGAGGAAGGAATTCGCTTGAATCAATTTGACTATATTCAGGTACAAACAGAGAAGGATTAAATAGTTCTAGCTAGCAAGGACCTTGGGAATCAACCTGGGAACAACCAGGGATGATCCCAAATAATTCCAAGCAACAGAACCAACCTGGCTGGACAAAATAGCAGGTGGTAGGTTGGTAAACAACCTCTGGTTCTGTTTTTCCAACCTGGGAAAACAACAACCAGGTTCAGGTTCTAAAAACAGAACCTGTTTTGTCTTTGCCCAACCAGCCAAATGCTGGTTCCGCTGGTTTCCCCTGGCCTTGTAGCATGCAGATACAGACAAACAACATCCAACCTTCACCTAAATTGTACCCCTATAGTGCCTTCCCTGCTACACTATAGTTAACCAAACAAAACAGTACAATTTCGAGTTGGATAGAACTGAATCTGCGCAATCAACTCAACCGAACTACAAAGCTTCCATCTTGGGTTCCTTTGCGAGCTCGTCTTTTCTGCTTGCACTGTTCATAGCGCGTACAATGTTGTGCCGAAGCGCACATTGCGCGAGTACCTGCAAATGCATCAAGCAAAAAATGCGAAAGCAAACAAACACACGAACACACCATTCATACGCAAATGCATTCGCACACGCATACTCGTACAAACAGACGGCAGGATGTCGTGCAATGTGCATTTGCACCCAACACACTCCCCCTCAGCCTGCCGGCTGCATCCCCGTCATTCCATGCTAGTTCATGCTCATTCCACTCATGCGCACACAACGCCAATGAGGCTCATCCGCAAGCCTCTTGGTGAGAAAGTCTGCTGGCTGCTGGTGAGTCTTGATGTAGATTGGATTCACCGTCCCCCTCTTCACCTCCTTACGCAGCCAGTGCCACTTGATACGCATGTGCTTGTTCAGGCCATGAAGCACAGCGTTCCTGGCCATCCCAAGAGCCCCCTTGCTATCACAAAATAGCGGCGTAGCAACTTTCTGCTCCTGGCCAATCTCCTCTAACAGCCTCCTCAACCAAATCACCTCCTTCACCCCATGGAACATCGCCATGTACTCTGATTCTACGGAAGAGAGTGCCGTCTCCGTCTGCTTCTTGGACCTCCAACTAACAGGTCCTCCCCCAACTACGCAGATGTATCCTCCCACAGATGAGGAATCCTCCTTCTCAGAAGCCCACGTAGCATCGGTAAAGCAAGTGAGAAACAGCTTGCCTTCTCCAAGCCTCTCCCCCTTCTCTTTCAGCACCTCCACCCCTTTCTGCTTCACCTGTGCAGATGCGGAGTATTGAACTCCAATGCTTGGATGAGAGTTCAGGTACTTCACCACACGCTCAGCTGCATCCACCTGCTCCTCTGATGGATTCTGCACCATCCTAGCCAGCTGCCCAACCGAGAAAGAGATGTCGGGCCTCGTGTGAACTGCTGCGTACAAGAGGCTGCCCACCAAGGACTGAAATTGCTGCTGCTCTTCAGCTTCAACCCCTTCATCCTCTGCAGCCTTCACAAGCTTGAATTCTGCTGGCAGGGGAGTTGCAACCTTGCGCTCATTCTCAATCCCATACTTCTCCCCCAGCTCCTTGATGAACTTCTCCTGGTGCAGCTTCAACCACCTGTGATCTGGATCCCTCTCCACGTGCATCCCGAGGTAGTACTTTACCTCCCCAAGGTTCTTGCACTTGAAGTTTTCCATCAGTTGCTGCTGCACTTTCTGGATCTCCTTCATGCTGCTGCTGAAGAGAAGAATGTCGTCCACATAGACCAGAAACAGCACCAGCTTCTCCCCCTCACCCTTGAGAAAGAGGCTCTCATCACAGCTGCTGGTCCTGAATCCCATCTCCTCTAAAACAGCTGCCAACTTCTGGTACCAGCAGCGTGGCGCCTGCTTCAAGCCGTAGATGGACTTGTTGAGCTTGCACACCCTGCCCGTACCATCCTCATACCCAGGCGGCTGCGTCATGTACACATCCTCCTCTAAAATCCCATTCAGGAATGCCGTTGAAATATCCATCTGAATGATGAATTTCCCACTAACAGCTGCATCTGCCAACAAGACACGGAGGGTAGGGGGTTTGGCAGTGGGAGCAAAGATCTCGTTGAAGTCCTGCTTCTCCTTCTGCATAAACCCCTTCGCCACCAGCCTACTCTTGTAGATGGTGACCTGCCCCTTGTCATCGGTCTTGATCCTCAGCACCCACTTGCATTGTATCGCTTTCTTCCCATCAGGCAGCACCACCAGATCCCATGTCCTATTCTCCAGCAGACTCTGGTACTCAGCATCCCTAGAAGCCAGCCACTTGTCCCTATCTGGTCCAGCTAATGCCTCCTCCATGCTAGCTGGTTCCTCTGGTGCAGGGGCAAGAAAACAGTACGCAGGCTCATCCTCCTCATCCGGGTCATAGCCATGAGGTAGAATCAGCAATGCCTCTTCGGTCCCTAGCTGCTGCTCTGCTGCATCAGTTCCTGCAGTCAGCTTCTTAGTAGCCATACGGGTACGTCCTGGCCTGGAGACGGGTGTCTCCCATCCCTTCATAACGACACCCTTCGGCTTCTTAGTTTTTCCCTGCTGCTTCTCTCCTCCCTCGGGTCCAGCAGCTCCACTAGTGCTGCCGCCAGTTTCCACACCATTTTCTCCACCAGCAGATGCCTCCTGTACCTTCTCTCCATCACCATTTCCAGCAGCTGCCTCCTCTCCCTCCTCCCACACACTAGGAGTCAGGTCCAGCTGCATGGTGATCTGCTCCATCTGCTGGGACACCCTTGCCTTCGGCTGTTTCTCCCAGCTCCCATACATCATGCCCTCAATGAATTTCACATCCCTGCTGTCAAACAACACACCCTTGGATGGTTCCCACAGCAGCCATCCCTTGCTCTCAGCAGCCAGCCCCAAATGCACACACCAGATTGCACTCGCCCCCAACTTACTGCGGTAGGTCTTGGGGACGTGGGCGACTGCCATGCAGCCAAACACCCTCAGCATGTCCACCGGCGGCTTCCTCCCAAGCCACCTCTCCAACGGCACCCACGAGTCATCCCCAACCTTGGTGAGCACCCTGTTCCTAGCGACAGTGGCGTGCCGGACAGCATGAGGCCACATAGAATTGCTCAGCCCAGATTCTATGAGCAGCGCCCTAGCTGTCTCCAGAATGGTCCGGTTTGCCCGTTCTGCTACACCATTGGACTGTGGGGTATAAGCCGTGGTCAGCTCTCTCTGGATGCCCTGCTTCTTGAGCCAGGCCGTCATTTCAGCTCCAAGGAACTCACCACCCCGGTCTGTCCTAATCCGCTTCACTACACACTCCGCCTGCTTCTCCACGAATGGCAGCCAATCGTCCCGTATCGTGGAGGCGGCGTGGTCCTTCTGCTTCAGCGGATACGCCCACATCAGCCTGCTCCAGTCATCCACAATTGTAAGAAAATACCGCTCCCCCTTGTGCCCTTGCACCGGCAGCGGCCCCACCAAGTCCATGTGGACCAGCTCCAAAGGCTTCTTGCTCCTGCCAGCCACACTATGGAAAGGGAAACGGGTGAACTTTGAAAGCAAACAGATTTCACAGTTGTCATCGGGTGGCTGTCCGTTCAGCTTCAGACCCTTAACGGCTCCGTCCTTCTCCAGCTGCTTCAGCAAAGGCATTGCCACATGCCCTAAGCGCCGGTGTGCCGTTGCCCAATCTGTCTCCCCAGATCTGGCCGACACTTTCACACCAACCCCTCCAACGGCATTGCACTCCCCCTGGGATGCAGACCCCTCTCCAGCCTGCCCCCCACCATGCCACGCCAGGGCCGGCAGCTGCCACATAGATCTGTACACGTCCTTGCTCTCGTGCAGATCCCAAAGCACCCGATTGCCCAGCTTCCCCTTATAAGTGCGTGCCCCATCCGTGTTGGTATTCACCCCAGCCTTGCCAAGCTTACGGAGGGAGATAAGATTGGCCTTCAGGTCGGGGACGAAGAGAACGTCGTGCAGCACCACCGGCTTGCCATCCGCTCCCTTAAACGCAGCTCGTCCCGCACCAGCCACCTTCAACATGTGTCCAGAGGCGGAGCACACTTCATTGATCGGTGCAGCTCGTACTTCGTCCAGCAGGTCCTTGCGCGGCGTCATCGTCCAAGCAGCGCCTGTGTCCAACACCCAATAGTCTAGGGGGTGCAGCTCTGCTCCAACTTTGGCAGAGGCGTCTCCTTGCTCCCCCTTGTCTCCCACATGGAAGAATTGGCCCGCGGTGCGCTCCTTCTTCTTCTCCGCACCGCCGTTGCCCTTCGGGTTGTTGTCGGACGAATCAGCGACCATGTTGGCGCCGTTTTTCTGGTTCCTCCGCGCGCCGCCATCCTGGTGACGATTCTGGGGGGTCCATCCATCGGGTTTCTTATAGCACAAAAACCAGGGGTGCCCTTCCTTCTCACAATACCAGCAACTCCCTTTCATTTTGCCACCAGCACCCGACTTGCCCCCACGTCCAGATTTCGCACCGCGACCCCAACCGGTACCTCCTTGTTGGTCGTTGGAGTCGTCGTCTTTCTTTGCACCGCGTCCAGCACCACCGAAGCCACGTCCTCTGCCACGTCGGCTCCCTTGCATCCCGTAGCCGCTGCTGCCGTCGTCTCCACCCCTCAGTTGGCGGCGACGGAAGTCCTCCTCCAGAATCTTCGTCCGCACCCACTCGAGCGTCCACAAGCTCTGGTTCTGCGGCAGGCTCAATCCACTCGTAAATTGAAGCCACGATTCTGGCAGCAGCGAGAGCATCTTCAAGCACTTGGTCTGCTCCGGGTAGGTGATTCCCGCGGTCGCCAACTTCGCGTAGAGGTCGCGCATCTTGTCCAGGACTGGTTGCACCGGCTCTCCCTCGCTCAGGCGCAACGCGGACAGCTCCCTCTCCAGCATCAACGTTGCGACAACGGAGGTCGGGGCGTGCAGCTCCTTCAACACGGTCCACGCCTTCGGACCGCATTCAACCTCCGGCAGCAGGTGCATGACGTGGTGACGCTGGTTCAGCTCCAAACTCTGCGACATCAAATAGTAGCCAGCCGAGGAGCGCTCGTCCCAATCTTCCTGCAGCGTGGGGTCACTCGGTCTAGGCTCCTCCCCAATCATTAGTTTCAGCAAACCGATCTGACGGAAATATAATTGCATTTTCCAGGCCCAATCATCATAGCCCTCACCATTGAACTTCTCGACGGTGAAATTCTTCAGCACCTCCTTGACAAGCGAGCCCTGGTTTGTTCGCGCTCCCCTTGGCGCTGAAAGACCAGAATCTTGGCTGCCGCTACGATCTTGGGCTGAAGATTCACCAGCTCCCGCCGAGGTGTTGCCCGCCATAGCTACCTATAACGAGGATCACTATAACGCAGCTCTGATACCAGCTTGTTGGTGTAAGGGCCTAATAAACTCAAGCTATTAGGACTTAATCAAACTTAAAACCTCTCCTCGGGGTCACCTCCAAGGGTCCCTGGGTGCCTGGTACAAGACCAGCCCCTATCCCCGGGTCCGAGTTTGTAGAGAGGGATCAAGAAGGACTTAGTCAAAACAGCAAGAGTACCTTGAACGTCGCGCAGCGTGCCGTGCAGACCGTCGATCGGATTAAGCTGAGAATTCGCTATAGCCAAGCTCGCTCCAAGAGCTTTAAAATGAGCCAAGTTGCCTCGCGAAAAGTTCTGCCATTACTAAGTTATGGCTCGGACAGCGTTTGCCTAGCGTTGGAGTGCTAGCATACTAGCGTTGAATCGGGTAGCATTCCGCCGTCGAATAGCGCAGAAACGAAATTCCAGCGAGGAAGGAATTCACATGAATCAATTTGACTATATTCAGGTACAAACAGAGAAGGATTAAATAGTTCTAGCTAGCAAGGACCTTGGGAATCAACCTGGGAACAACCAGGGATGATCCCAAATAATTCCAAGCAACAGAACCAACCTGGCTGGACAAAATAGCAGGTGGTAGGTTGGTAAACAACCTCTGGTTCTGTTTTTCCAACCTGGGAAAACAACAACCAGGTTCAGGTTCTAAAAACAGAACCTGTTTTGTCTTTGCCCAACCAGCCAAATGCTGGTTCCGCTGGTTTCCCCTGGCCTTGTAGTATGCAGATACAGACAAACAACATCCAACCTTCACCTAAATTGTACCCCTATAGTGCCTTCCCTGCTACACTATAGTTAACCAAACAAAACAGTACAATTTCGAGTTGGATAGAACTGAATCTGCGCAATCAACTCAACCGAACTGCAAAGCTTCCATCTTGGGTTCCTTTGCGAGCTCGTCCTTTCTGCTTGCACTGTTCATAGCGCGTACAATGTTGTGCCGAAGCGCACATTGCGCGAGTACCTGCAAATGCATCAAGCAAAAAATGCGAAAGCAAACAAACACACGAACACACCATTCACACGCAAATGCATTCGCACACGCATACTCGTACAAACAGACGGCAGGATGTCGTGCAATGTGCATTTGCACCCAACAGCATGCACACACACATTTACATGCAAATGCACATGGATGGATACTCACATGAACATGGATATACACATCCACATACACCGTCACATGCTAAAGCACACACACAGAGTCACATGCACTGTGACATGCACATTCAGGAAGAACATATGCATGTAGAGAGACTAGTACCGTGCCGGCAACATGCGACCTGTGTGGATAGTTGAGTTAATACAATGAGCCGAGACTGTGTATAAAGTTAAATGCCTTAAGAGCCATGAGTGGGCTGTGTGGAGTGGAGGGAGTTGAGGCAGGCATCTGGGGAAGAGGAGGGAGAAGGCAGGGAGAGAGTAGGGAGAAAGGGCGAGAGAGGAGGAGAGAGGAGGGAGCAAGCAAGCAGCAGCAGCACTGACAGGTATCGAAGGTAAATCAAGCCTCCCAAACTTGGCCCTGTTACATCATTGTAACTTGGTACTGGCCCTGTTAAATCATTGTTGCTCAGGTCCCTGCCATGTCATGCCATGCCATGCCATCCCACGCGATGCGATGCGATACCATGCCATGCATTCAGTGCCACACAAGTGATGCAATGTGAAGCCATGAATATAAAGGTGGCCATATACATGGCACTCACACACCACACCATATATTCAAAGCATGAAAGGACACCGCCTGTGCACTGGCAAGCTTGTTGGGCAAGTTATAATCCTGTGGCAACTGAGAGGAACGTGCATCCTTACTCTAAGACCAAGAGGCAGAAATCTGCTAGGAATATCTTGGTGTCCGAGTGTTACACTATCCACACCTCACCCAATTATGGTCACCAATAAGTAATTTCCAGCGCACAAAAACTGAGATACTGCAAGTCTTATTGGGGAATGCACATGATTCCTTTTCCATCCTTTCCAATCCCACTATTGCTGTACTCAAATTTCCTCGAGCTCCACTAACCATGTCAGTTCATTCTATTACAAAATTTATAAGGCACAGGCTTAGTACTTCCTACGGCACGATATGTGGAAACTGGGAAGGCTAGAGTGGGCCAGATTACACAGAGGACATGTAAGGAATGTCAAAAAAAGGGATGTCAGACAGGATGCACATTCCATTTAACGATTCAAGATGCAGCATGCTACTTGCGTGTGTGAATGATTGCATGTTTACATGCGTGCGTGCTTGCTTACTTGCTTACATGCATGTTGCCTGCTGCTCACACTCACAGTTTTGTAAGGTATATGAGCTGGGTGAGTGTGGAAGAAAGACTGCAAGATAACTTGTTGGATCCGAGACCTCTGGTTGGGTTTGAGGCAGCACCTTATGAGTCCCGATGGGGGCGCAGCATGCGACTCTAACTAGGACTGACTGGTGTTAACAATGGTGATGTTTGTTAGATATGAACCGATTGATTCGATTGTGAAATGAGTGGGCTTTCATAACCCTAGTTTGGGTGCCTATCTCTATCCTATGGTTTATAGGATCAATGCAGGATACAGAAGAGTAGTATAATCTAACAATGTTCCAGTGGGAGCGGTGACTGTGCTGATGGCAAGTGCCAAAAGGTGATGCCAAGGAATGGAAGACGAAGGGCAAAGAATCAGGACGAGTGAATATGTATGGTGGTTGCAAGTAGGTCAAGTGCAAAGCGGGTCCCTCTTCTGCAAATAGTTTGTGAGAGGAAGGACTGCGCCAAGAGGTGATGGCACGCAATGCCATGGCATTAGATGCACGGCTTGGCATGGCATTGCAGGATATGGCATGGTATGGGAATGGAATGGTATCACACTACATGTGCATGTCTCACATATTTTGCAAATCCTTGAGTCCAAACATAGACGCCGGAATGGAGCCATCGAGAGAGTTGCCCGACAGATCACTGCAGGGAGGGAGGGAGGAAGGGAGGGAGGGAGGGAGGAAGGGAGGGAGGGAGGGAGAGAGGGAGGGAGGGAGGGAGGGAGGGAGGGAGGGAGGGAGGGAGGGAGGGAGGGAGTTAGGGACGGAGGGAGGGATGGAGGGACGGAGGGAGGGAGGGAGGGAGGTAGGGAGGCAGGGAGGAAGGGAGGAAGGGAGGAAGGGAGGAATGAAGAGAGGGAGGTAGGGAGGCAGGGAGGAAGAGAGGGAGGTATGAAGGGATGGAAGGAGGGAGGTAGGCAGGCAGGGAGGAAGGGAGGGAGGGAGTGCGGGAGGGAGGAAGACAAGAAGTGAGGCAGGGAGGAAGTGGGGGAGGGATGAAGTGAGGGAAGGAGGGAGGAAGGAAGGCAGGGAGGAAGCGAGGGAAGGAGGGCGGGAGGGGAAGGGAGGAAGGGAAGCAGGGAGGAAGGGATGGAGGGATGACGAGAGGGAAGGAGGGAGGTAGGGAGGCAGGGAGGAAGGGAGAGAGGGAGGGCGGGAGGGAGGTAAGGACCAGATGAGAGACAGCATGGGACATTGTCAGAATGAAGATGCCTAAAGAAACAGAATTGAGGAAACGCGAGCAAGGCGGGATGAGGGAGAGCAGAAGAGCAGAAGGATTGGGAAAGATGGAAGGGGAGGAGGACAGGGGAGGAGGAAGTACATTCCATCCATTAAGAGAGATACTCCCGTTGAAATATGAACTCCTTATATGATGACTGCACCCGCGACATTAGAAATGGCTTCAGGAATCGAACCCGTGAGAGCATTCCTTGCAAGGTTGCTAGGACGAATGGAAGAAGGTGGGGTATGGAAGGAAGGTATGGGTGGGTAATAGTAGATGGATCGAGTGTTAGAGGAAGAGAAAGAATTGGAGCAATGCAGAACAATAGTTAATGGAAGAGAGAGAAATTGGGGAAGGAGTGAGTGGGTAATGAAGCAACCATGTGGCAAGGGCAGATTCAAGACAGTTGATATTGTTCGAGAGCCAATGCAGAAGAACAGTTAGACTTGAAACATTCACAGATACGTTAATGCATTATTCAGGCTGGTTGGAGCGGGTATATATCCTGTAAAGCTATTGCCACTCAAACTTCTCTGCATTCGCATGCACAAGGACATTCACGTAAACATGTACAGTCAAATGCACATGCATACACGCACACCTTCACATGCAAATGCACATGGATAGACATTCACATGAACATGCATATACACATCCACATACACCATCACATGCTCATGCAAACACACAGAGTCACCGTGCAGTGACAACCACATGCACTAAGGAGTAAGTCAGGAGGAATGTGGAGACCATAGGGTGGAGAGGGGCGAGATGGTATCAAAGGAGGGAGAGGAGAGAACAGGGTGCTCAATGTAGGTGCAACCCCATAGTTTGCACTCAGCTTGTTGTCCTTGTGTGTGCATGCGTGTGTGCATGGAATGGTATGAGGACATGCAATATTATATATTTCATGTTTATAATAATGTGTGAATGATGGGTCATGATGTTGAGTGTGTTTATCGAGTCAATAGCGAGTTATCGCTAGTCGCGCGTCACGTCATCATTTGTGTGTCGTGTGCGTTTTCTATATTGTCGTGTGTACGTTCGGCATGTCGAGGCATATGCGGCAATCTTTCAAGAGCTCTAAGAAGAATTGGGTTCAAAATTGAAGTGATTTCAAAGCTCGTCAAAATGGTGAACTTTAAGATCATGAGAATAACTACATCACAATGCGTGAAGTAACTGCATTACTTGGTGTAGGCCGTTGTGGATGATAGTTTCGAGACATTTTGTGGTTGGGGACAGTGCGCACTATTTCCATCATTGCATCTTGGCTTTTGGGGTTTGTGAGGCTCGAAGACATTCCCAACTCGTAACTCTTTGCAAGCTGTCCTCTAAAACTAATGAAACTGGCATTGCGTTGTCAGTGCTTAATGAAATGCCTAATGTAGGCGATGTTGAAACGCTTCATCTTATTTATAGTAGGTCATTTGGACTTGTTAGCAGAACACTATCAACGTTTGAAGCCGTTGTGCAGAGATCCGTTTGTGCACTCTATCCTTCATTTGAGGCACATTTGAGCCTATTGCGACTATAATGTTAGAAATAGGCTGTCAACACTTTGTGTACTATATTCTTTATCTTGTAGGATATTTGTAGGTTGGGTGTAGATTGTGATCCCAACCCTATCTGGTTAAGATTCCTTCGTAATCCAGTAAATCTGTCAACTCACCATTGGAGTGTTGCTAGGATTTCCATTCCATCCTTTCCCTAGCTTTGTAAAACCCAACCTTGTTTGTACTTAAGGCCTAGTGCCTTCTCTACTAATCAATCAGTTCAGCTCCAATTCGATCATGGTATTAGAATTAGTAAATTCCGCTCAGGCGGAATCCGATCCTTGGCGTTGCGGTCGTTTCTCTTCCTCGCGGCTACATCAAAGAGAATTCTATGGACTGTGTATATAGTCAAATTCCTTAACAGCCATGAGTGGGATGTGGAGGGTGCGGAGATAACTACTACAACGGGAGCTAGACTACGGGCTAGGCACGTGTAAGCGTGTGATCTCTGCGTTCGTTGGTCCTTAGTCGTTTTCCTAGTGCACACACTGCTTGCTAGTTCACAAGGCAATTTGGCAAGAGTTTCACTAGAGAAAGTTGACAACAATGATACAATGAAGTTGGCTAGGCAAGACTACATCAGAGCTAGGATGCAAGCAGGTCGACTGCCAGCGCAGCATGGTCGACCGCGTGCCAGCACGACTTGGTCGACCGCGCTCCAGCAGTACAGAGACGCGGCTTGCCAACGTTGCAGGTCGACGGCGTGACAACAACGCAAGTCGACGGCGTGCCAGCGTTGCTCCTGCAGCCCAGCATCGCACCAGCTTCGCAGGTGCTCGTAGGTGATTGGCGCGCACTGCTTCGTCACCTGCACAGCGCACACACCAAGTCCACCTCGTGCTGACGACTGCATCTCATCTGCCAGGTCGACCTCGGGATACCACCACCGAGGTCGTCCTCGCCAACCTCGCCTGGGCGACCTTCGCGTGCCTTCGTAGACCCTCGTCACCCAGGTAACATGGTCGACCGGGCAACCAGGTCGACCAGCTGCTCCTGTGCGTGCCCGTCGACCTCCCAGGTCGACGACCACTTCCAGTCGACCTCCCCAGGTCGACCACTACCTCTTGTATGTGCCGGTCGACCTCCTAAGTCGACAACCCCCTCCTATTGACCTCCCCAGGTCGACCACTACTCCCTGGTCGACCAGCTCTAGGTCGACGTCACTCCTGGTCGACCACAGGGTCTAGTTGACGTCCCAGGTCGACCAGAAGGGCTGGTCGACTTCCCAGGTCGACCAGAAGGGCTGGTCGACTTCCCAGGTCGACCAGCCAAAGTTGGCGCCCTCCTGAAGTCGGCGCCCATGCAGTGGCTCCCCGTGCAGGTCGACCAACCTCGTCGACCAACTCGCCCACTGCTGCAGGTCGGCTGCATCCCTACACCCGACCACGAAGTCGGCTCCGCCCAAGCAAGGACGGGGCCAACATCCAACTCCCGTTGACACTCCCCTGCCGCGTTCACGCTTGGGCCCCCAGCCCACACGGCAGTACCTCTCGGAGAACAGCTCGTCGACGTGCACCCAACACACAGCACGTCGTCCACCGCACCAGCCATGCAAAAGGGCATGGCACCTACTGCTGCACTTCGTCAACTTCGTCGCCCACGTCGGCCAAGCACACCTGGCCGATGGCGACGGAGCACCGGTTGAAGGCCGGGTAGTGCAGCGCCTTCGTCAGGAAGTCGGCTGGCTGCTCAGCGGTCGGGATGTACTGCAGCGCAAACTTCCCCCGCTTCACCATGTGCTGCAACCAGGCCTGTCGCCGCTCCATGTGCTTGAGGTTGCCCGTCAACCCCATGCCCTCGGTGACTGTGATGGCTGACTTGTTGTCCACCCGAAGGACGGTCGGCTTCCCAGCATCCAGCTGCTGGAACTCTGCGAGGAGGAAGCGAAGTCGGCGTCCCTCCTTGCTGGCTTCGATGGCCGCCACGTACTCCGACTCGGTCAACGACAGCGTCGCGCACTTGATGCGCTGGCTCGACCAGGAGACCGCGGCCCCTCCGTAGACAAACACGTAGCCGCCCGTGCTCGTCCTGCTCTGCTTGTCACCGGCATCGTCGGCGTCCACGTAGCCGACCAGCTCCAGCGACTCAGGTCCACCGCCGAACTCCAGGGCGGTGTCACGCGTGTTGGCGAGGTAGGCGAGGCAGCGGTCGACCTCGCGCCAGTGCTGGTCGCTCCTCACCGTGAGGCCGCTCCCCAGCTTGCTGCAGGCAAAGGCGATGTCCGGCCTCGTCGTCGTCGCCATTACGAAGTTATGGCTCAGACGGTGTTTGCCTAGCATTAGAGTGCTAGCGTACTAGCGTTGACTCGGGTAGCATTCCGCCAACGAACCGCGTAGAAACGAAATTCCAGCGAGGAAGGAATTCGCATGAATCAATTGACTATATTCAGGTACAAACAGAGAAGGATTAAATAGTTCTAGCTAGCAAGGACCTTGGGAATCAACCTGGGAACAACCAGGGATGATCCCAAATAATTCCAAGCAACAGAACCAACCTGGCTGGACAAAATAGCAGGTGGTAGGTTGGTAAACAACCTCTGGTTCTGTTTTTCCAACCTGGGAAAACAACAACCAGGTTCAGGTTCTAAAAACAGAACCTGTTTTGTCTTTGCCCAACCAGCCAAATGCTGGTTCTGCTGGTTTCCCCTGGCCTTGTAGCATGCAGATACAGACAAACAACATCCAACCTTCACCTAAATTGTACCCCTATAGTGCCTTCCCTGCTACACTATAGTTAACCAAACAAAACAGTACAATTCCGAGTTGGATAGAACTGAATCTGCGCAATCAACTCAACCGAACTGCAAAGCTTCCATCTTGGGTTCCTTTGCGAGCTCGTCCTTTCTGCTTGCACTGTTCATAGCGCATACAATGTTGTGCCGAAGCGCACATTGCGCGAGTACCTGCAAATGCATCAAGCGAAAAATGCGAAAGCAAACAAACACACGAACACACCATTCACACACAAATGCATTCGCACACGCATACTCGTACAAACAGACGGCAGGATGTCGTGCAATGTGCATTTGCACCCAACACACTCCCCCTCAGCCTGCCGGCTGCATCCCCGTCATTCCATGCTAGTTCATGCTCATTCCACTCATGCGCACACAACGCCAATGAGGCTCATCCGCAAGCCTCTTGGTGAGAAAGTCTGCTGGCTGCTGGTGAGTCTTGATGTAGATCGGATGCACCGTCCCCCTCTTCACCTCCTTACGCAGCCAGTGCCACTTGATACGCATGTGCTTGTTCAGCCCATGAAGCACAGCGTTTCTGGCCATCCCAAGAGCCCCCTTGCTATCACAAAACAGCGGCGTAGCAACTTTCTGCTCCTGGCCAATCTCCTCTAACAGCCTCCTCAGCCAAATCACCTCCTTCACCCCATGGAACATCGCCATGTACTCTGATTCTACGGAAG